TGGACTGGCCGTCTATGTGTCAAATAGGCTGTCTTCTATTAAATCGGGGGTTTGCTTCGGAGAAATGGCACTCGCGCCTATAGTGGATATTGGGGTGCAATTGCTTTTACTTGTTCTCTCACACGCGCAAGGATGCTGGGGATTGAATTGCAATGTATTTAATGAATAATATGATTTGTATTTTCACTGTAAGTAAATGAGAGTTAATTCACAATTTGAACCAAATGGAAGGGAAAATGCGAAAGCATGCACATGGTTCAGGTTCAGCTGCCAATCATAAAATCGAAATTCATTCGGTCGATAGGCCGACGATACGAGCATAACCAGTTTATTGTTTAATTATGTCGTTAATAACAGAATCATAAGTGCCTCGGTGGGTCTAATGCCGGTCTTAAAAACTCAATCGGCAACACAAAAATATTTAGCAATTTCCGGGTGCTACGCAGCAACGTTTAGGCCATGCTGATAAATTCACTTGAAAATAATTTAATTTCGTTGTTACTCCATGCTAACGAACACCAACAATTCGAGCAGAGGCAAGGACATTTTCCGACGCTCCTACTGCTCGTGCTGGTGCTGCTGCTTCTGCTGGTGTTAGTGTTGGTGTTGTTGTTGTTGTTGGTGTTGTTGCTGCCTTCCGAGCCACATTATTTTCCACTTTGCCTATCAAGTTTTCACGAGGCACTCTGCGCCGAAATGAAAATGGGCATAAATGTTCTTTAGCATTGACAAAATGCCTTGGCATGAACATGAAGCCGTATCGATATCCTTGATCTAAATTGTGCACAACCGCAAGCGATCAATAAAAACAAATATATACTTGAACAAGTTTATTTCGCTGCCACTCAGGCGCTGGCCTAGACGAGCCTCGGCGCTCGACAGTCAGTCGGGCCAGAGTCGAGAAAGTTTCGTGTAAATATGTGTTTATTAACGAATTGAAACTCTATTGCGAAATTAACAAGTTTTAAAAGTAATTTTAATAAGAATTGTGTAAATAATTAACGTAGTTCCTCTCTCTCTCTCTGTCTCTCTCTCGCCCTCTCTCTGTCTTTCTCTTTTCATTTTCGACTACAGTGCAAGTTTTTTAGCTGGAAATGCACATTTGGTGGGATTTTCTCTGTGGCAAGCCATGTCAGAGCATTTTGTGCACAGTTTGCATATTCTTTTAATTTCGCTATTAAATATTTAATGAGCTGCGCCAGTGCGAAGGGACACAGTCGACAGAATTCGGGTGCTTCTTTTTCTTCTTGTTGGCGGCTTCGCTGCGACACACTCATTACGCAAAAGTTCGTGAATAATTATGGTGAGTGTGAGTGGGAAAGTTGCAGTTGCAGCGGTTGCAGCGGGACTCGTGGACAGTGGAACGGCGGAACGACGGAATGACGGAACGGTGGGGCAACGGGTGGTTCCATGAATGGGAGAGAGTGAGAGAGAGACTGCACGTCTAATTGGGTGCTTGCTTGAAGCAAGCTACCGTGACCTGTTCCATGCCATACCTTGTTGCTTCTTCCTAGTTACTGCTTAGGCCGGGCGCACTCGGCTGCTCGGTGCATCTGACAACGAATCTTGATTGCCTTGTTGCCTGAGCAAAGACCTGGCCTTAGCAACGTAGCCAGCAATGATGAAAACGTAGAAGACACTACTGTTCCATTGAAATTTTATACTTGTGTCTTCCTTGTGTCCTTGTCATCATCATATCCACACAATGGCCCCAATGGCCAAGTCCCCACACGAAATTGCGTGCTGGATGATGCCAATGTTGTCCTCGTTGCCCTTTATTCGCATGCACATGCGGGACGAGAATAGGCCAAGTGCAGGGCAGCAGCAACAATGGCACAACTTGAACTTTCGAAACACGTTAAGTCATATGCACGATTCAGCTTCACAATTGCCGCACCTGTCGCACTAACTGTCTTCTAGAAGCGCTCAGTCAACTGTATACTGATTACTATATTACCAGCGCGCCGAGCATTATAGACATAGAGCAATATAGGAAAACCTTTAAGTTCGTTCGTTACTAAATATACGTTTTATACACGAAAGATTCGAAATCTATGATATATATCTATGATATATAGAATGCTGTTCGTATTGAATATCCTTAAGCTTTGTATAGCATTCCTCCTCTTCAAGCACTTGGTGCAATGCCGCCAATCCAGTGCTGACTGAAATCCGCTGGAGCACCGTGTCGCACCTTTAGTTTCGGCACTCCATTGCAGTGCGGTTGGCGCTTGGCGCTTGGCAATGTGCAATGGTCTCGAAAATTGAATGTCAATTTTCGACTCATTTCACGGAACACTTGAATTAGTTTGCTGAAAATCGGGTGGCCAGAAGGCTGAACCTGCGATTGGCGGCTTGTTTGTACACTTTTCCGCGTTGCTTATTCGTAAAACTTGTGCTTAATGGCGCCGACGACAATCCGCAGGACAAAGCTGGCTCGCAGCGTCGACGACAACCCTCACAAAACTGACCCCACTTAATATCCTGGTAGACAGCGATGTTTACGGATAGGGAAGATAGATCGAGTGTGAGGCAGAGGAAGCAGTTGTAGGTATAAGTGTATATATATAAGATAGAACAGACTGTTCATGTACATATATATGTATATCTGATTGACTGACTTCAAGATTTGGGACTGTGCAGATAATAATAGAGATAGGTTTACCTCACTTCCGTTACCTTTCTTACTTAATCCTATTCTCATTTACGTCTACTGATAAATGACGCGTATTTATAAATCTTTGTCTAAGCAATGACCAACAATTTGTCCAGGCAATGCAAATGCTTGATCAGCAATCAGAGAGTCGATTTACCACCGCTCAACTACTCGATGAACCTTCGAATAGTGTGAATTGTGTTATCCTTCTTCTGGCGTGTGGCAGGACACTACAAGCATGTCAATTGCTGCACACTGTTAGGGTCTTCGTTTCAGTCCTTCGAGTGGTCGTCGAATGTTGCAATTCCTGAATCGTTCAAGTTGTTACTGTTTCTGTGGTCGATTTTCCATTAAATCGAGTCTCCGGGCTCTTGAATTGGCTCTGCGGTCATGTCATGGACGGCCATGCAGCAGGCACTTCACATGCAGCAGAGAGCTTGTAATGGCCTTGCTCTTGTAGTGTTCGACCAAATAAACTTTTGGATTGCAAGTTGCAGTTTCACTCGAGTGTGTATTTTAATTATAGCCAAGAACATGTCGGCGATAAAAATGCAATGTTGTTTTTGAGCCCATAAAGGGGATCAAAGTGTTTCCATAAAAATGCCTGCACACATAAAGTTCTGAGGAATACTCTGATAACTCTCAAATTGAATAGAGGCGACATCAATTTCTACTATTCAGCTGCCGTTGTCTGTTCGACGAGGGCAACTGCCTTAGAGTAGGCTATAGAAACAAATCTCATCCAAAGTTGCCATGTGTAATCTGGATAGATTGCCCTTTATTATTGACATACATTTCCATTATTTAGGAAACTGAGCCAGCAAGGCTTCGTCGGTTGGATTTTTCAATTTCCCCATTTCTTCATAATATCCCAACAATTTGTTAACCGTCAGTCACTCCTTGGCAGAAAGACACCTGAGCAGAACACATTTCTGCCTGTAAACATTCTTGCATAGGTATGAAATGAGATTTTAATGTCTCGTTATACTTTCATTATATCTACTGTCTGTTGACATTGTTGTTGTTGCTGCTGCTGTAGCTGTTGTTATTGCCATCTCTCGACATTAGCATCGCCAACAGCAACAGCAAAAACAGCAACTCGGGTGCCATACGATCTGGAAGCAATTTGAGAACGCTTTCGAGAAACATGTAAAATCCATTATAAAAAGCGAAAAGAAAAAAATCTATTTTTGATTCATTCTATTCCTTCTTACGCAGCTATTTCCTCCACTTTTTTGCTGCTTTGTTATATTTAGAAGGCAGTTTTATAAGGACATACACCATACATAATCTACATACACTTCCATCTGTACAGATTGAAACTTATAAAATTAATTTGATTTATTTATTAGTGCAAGTGCCAAAAACTCTTCTGTACTATTTATTGACACCTCTTATAAATTTTACCCATTCCATATTTTCTTATCTCATCTTTGTATTGATTTCAAATGAAAGCAATGCCACAGCCCCGTTGATATATATCTGAGAACTCTTGTAACTGTGTCTGCAACATTTGCTTATGCCATTCATCTTGTGGGACTGCTACAATAGTATTTACTCTCCCGGAATAGTGATGATCCATGCTCTGACTTTGCTTGTGGCGGGTGTCTCGCTGTTACATCGAGCTGTTTCTGCTTGGCTTGTATTTTGATAATTAATTATATTGCTTTTGTTCTATTTGTGCAGCCTCCATTGCAGCGCACATCTCGTGCAGATGTGCCTGAGTGGACACAGCCATATACATATGTCTGTGTATCTGAATGTCTCCCTCCTCTCTCGCTCTCTCTTTCTCTACCTCTCTACCTCTACCTCTCGGTGTGAGTGCTCTCGTATTTCATCGTGCATCGCCCAGGAACGATTACTTACATTTGTACATACTTACATCAACTAGAAGTAATTGCAATTGCTATTGTTCGTTTGCAATGCAATAATGCGGTCCCACAGGCATATGCGAATATAACACAGCAACAACAGCAACAACAATAACGATAACAATAATGAAAGCACAAGAGTAGTTGGATGTGTCTGCGTGGAGGCTGTTCGCTTGTGTTGGTGTCATTTGCAATAACATGCAGAGCAAGCGTTTATTGTATTTGACATTGTTTCAAAAGTTAAGTTGCCTGTGGCCAGCCGCAGCAGCCTGCAACTTGTTGTGTCTGCCCACTTACCAGTGTGTGCGTGTGTGTGTATTTATTTTTATCTGAGTACAAGTTAAATAATTACAACAATCGACCATCTTCCTATCCGAAACTGCTCCTCATCGATTCTTTCTGGCTGGAGCAATGTGTTTTGTATGTGTGAGGAGGCTTTGTCTTTGCTTTTGGAGTTGATCTAGTGAACCTCGCATTCTATTTTGATTCAGTCTAAAATTCCAATTAAACCAAACAAAAAACAAAAAAAAATTCAACAAAAAAGATATATAAATATTTTGGAATAGCAAAATTCGAAGTATTTAAATTGTTTTATTTTGAGCATGTCTTTTACAAAAGCCATTGGAAACCAAAGAAAACAAAGGCCAATGTCTGGAAGCATAAATTCAGCGCCCAAACCCAACAATGCCAAAGTGCTGCGCCAGCAGCAGCGCATCTTGAAGCAGAACTACAGGAACTCAGGCAATGGCCAATTTCGACGCGTTGAGCATCGCGTCTGGCGTAAGACAATCGTTGTGACCAAGCCCAAACCAAAGGACAGAGTGCCTCGGCTGTTCCGCGCCGATCGATTAACTGGCCTGCCCCTTGATTACGAGCGCACTGTGTCGCGGATCATGTCATACGTTAATCCGCAGCACTCGCGGACGCCCAGTCCGGAGAAGGCTTTGGAGAATCTGTTCTCCCAACAACTGGCTGGGATTTTTGAGCTGTGTAGCAGGAACAACCAATGTCCTCGTGCCATGAAGAACCAAATCCGTCTGATGCTGAAATCCTATGGAACGAAGACCCCGCAGTGCAGTGGAGAGGCGGACAATAGAAATCTTTGCGAGTTTCACAGTGCTTGGTTAGTGTCTTAAGTTTCAGACCACAGTTGGATCTGTTAAATAACGATTCTCCTACAGCACACGGGGCCCGACACCAAGGCCTGAATTTCAAGCACCACCCACATACAAAAGTAAATTCAATTACAACACCCTAAGGATTCACACCACGTAGCAACTGGGTGCAGGACGGACACTGACTATGTTTACGAACACAACTATACTATATACTTGCCAGACATTATTGAAATGCATACCACGGCCTCTAGATTATCTTGTTATAAATGTCCGAACATATGCAATGTATATGTCCATATATTCATATGTATATACATGCCTATATACATACATATATATGTATTCATATATTCAAGTGCAAGTGCATGTGGCAATGGACAACAAATGCGATAAATGCATAGATGGTAAATGCCTAGCTTGACGTTATGCATACATCTTTAATCTTCAAAAGTACCCATCGGCATAAAAAAAAAAAAAAAATAAAATAATAATAATAAAAAAAAAAATTATAAAATAAGACTACGACGGTACCCGACGAAGGGTCCTTGAGGCAAAAAACGAAAAAATAATCTATTTTATGGAGAAACGACGGAGCACGCAAATAGGGGAGCTGTCCATTATTTCCATATTAATGTATAATCTGGAGCAGTCGATATACCGAGGTTTGAGACTGACTCTTAAAAAGGAACACAATCGATGGAGAAAAAGGGAAATGGATATGGATAGATCAAGGTGGCTGATTACCCGGCTGATTACTACCGTTGTGTCTATCATATGCATTTTGAAATAAATCAAACTACCCTATTTAGTGAGAAGTGAGAATGATTTGCTATTTTATTTGTTGCCTAGCCCACGTTGGTCAGCTTTAATGGGCTTCATATTATGCCAAAACATTTAGGGTACGTCGCCCTTTCCCCTCGCTGGGGCTGTGACCCCAACCGTGCGCCAGCTAAAAAGCCAGCTGCGACGAATTGATGTCAATGATTGTGACAAGTGCACTTGCTCTGCTTTGGTATAGTAGGAGAGGAAGAGGGCGAGAAGAGGGAGAGAGAGGCCTTGGTGGATGACAGAGGTGGGACAGAGGTCGGAATGGGCGGGACAGGGCCACTTGAGCTGAGTTGACAGGCAGAGCCAAAGAGCGCGCATTTAACATTGTCTGAACGAGTGCCATTGTAGGGCGCACTTGAGCGATTCCGCAATGCCAATATATCTGCCACTAACTACAGTGCACAGATCGGCTCTCGATCTGGATTGGGTGTGTTGGCTGTGCGTGTGCCAACTCGGTTAAGCATCAGACAAATATGCCAAGTGCCTCCCGGCAACATTTTCCGTTCACTAATTTGAATATCAGCCCAGCCGGGCGTCGGGCTGAGGCTCATCCTTTGTCGAATGATTTCCTATATACTCATTTGATGTGAATTTTACGCTGTCCCAGGCACTACAGCCGCACCGCCCGCAAATTAATCGCTCGAATCAGGAGTGCCTGCAATTACCATCAGCAAGGATGGCTAGGTAAATATTAAAGTGGCTAATCATAAGAGTGCTTAGCGCAGGCTCTAGCCAGTCGGAAGCTGTTGGATGCCCGACTGGCCCTTGGCAGAACGCGGCTTAATATTTATAGCTTATTTCTACGAGCCCACTTACCTTTCCATTCTGTTTTTTGCTTTCCACTTATAAATATTTACAGGAACGTTGATGTACTTGAGTATATTAGGAAACAGCAAGTCTCTGAGGGATCTAATCAGGACTGCATGACCTCCTATTAATCATAATCCTTATGATAATTATTAAAGGAGAATGATATCCTAGCGATAGGTAAAACCAAGATTAGTAACATAGTCATCATTATACAATTGTCACTCAGCTGGCACTAAATAATTCTGAAAGTTTTTCTGTTATAGGCATTAACTACATTAGTAAATGTAATTTGTCTAGTTAGACTAATGAATATTTACATATAAACGGAATTGCATTTGTTTAGACCTTTCCGTAATCGGAGCTCGTAACTATTGAGTTGTTGCCTCTGTTCAACTTCCTTGCCTGTTGATTATTATCTATAAGGGAAACACTTATGTTTGACACTTCAGATGATTTCAGATTTTTGTAGCTGTCATTTGACTTGTTTACTGTGGACTTTGTTTACACGCACGGGGTGGCAAACATTTGACTACCACTTGAAACGGTGTCAGTTTTTTGGCTGACATCACGGGCATTGCTCTTCCGTTGTTTTCGGTACCAGTTAAATAAACAAAACAATACTGAGACATCGCAGCGGCGGAGGCGGTAATCGCATCAGTTCTATCATCAGCATTCAGTTTCAGCATGGCTCATCATGGTCAGCATTGTCCTGCTGCCAGCAGAAGCTGATCCGTCCGCACCCGAGCCCCGGGGCAGTGCGCCGTGGTCTGTCGGCTGCCGTCGATGCTGTTTTTGACGTGCGACAATATTGAGATATCGTCTCAAGTGTAAATTGTTATCGACACTTTGGGAAGCGTGCGTTTTAGACGTTCCCCTGCAGCAGTATCATCAACGTCAATGGCACGCAAGTCTCCGGGCCCCCAGTATCCGTGGCCATCACCTACTCCTGCTCTACTTCTCTGTTTGGGATGTTGATTGTTTGCTTGAACATTTGTTTAGTTTGTGCATTTGATCGGAAGCTGCCTCGGCACTCCGCAGCCGTCATTTTTCTCTCTCACGTTGTTTGCCTTTTAAAACAACTTGTAGTGAAAGATTAAAGTTCCCAGTCTACGTTTAGGTTTGTATTTATTGACTACTGCAATTGTATATAAGTATATTGAATCGAAAAAATACGGAGCCGCACAATAAGTTAGTCGGAGCTAAAGAAAAGTTTGATTGTGCTATTGTTACAATAATCGAAGGTATTCACATTGTTGGCTCTGCCAAAAGACCTACATACATACATATATCCAATTGTTTATAAACTGTGAAGGTCGTTAGTTAGTCAAAGCGTGGTCAAAGCCGCGTAAACCTTACCGAGCCACTGAGCTGTGCAGTTTAACTTTGGTTTTTGGGGGCCTCATGGCCGACACGGAACGGGCGGGACGGAACGGAACGGGACAGGACAGGCCAGGACAGGACAGGATAAGTCGGCAAGGCATCAAGACTGTGGCGTTCATTTGGTTCGTTGTGCCTTATTCATTAGCTGGTTTCCGTTTCCGCTTCATTCAATTCTCTTGATGCCTTCACTGCGACTGACTTAATGCCATTGACGTGGACCTTGCGTTGCCGAATGCTATGCTACGTTGTCTCTGCTGCCTCCCTCCACACCTTGCTTGCGTATTTGGACCGTGCACCGTTTTTGCTGGAACTCCCTTGAAATGGCCCACTACTCCACTACTCCACTACCCTCTGCTCCTATGCTCCTCTGCTCCTCTTCTTCCGGCATACCCGACTCACTCTATTTGGCAATTCATTTTCAATTTATCTTGCCTAATATCGACATGCTTTTAGGTTTCGTCCCTTCCTTTGCCTACTTGCTCCTGGCTGAGTTAACTGGCTGACGGAACGAACGGACTGTAACTGGATTTCCAAGGAGTGTTCTATGTTCGGGCTTTATTTCAGACTATGGCCACGACTATGGGCGGCTTTATCTCGGCCATTGACTTACGCATACACGCTTTTGTTTTCCGTGCAGCTGAAAGCTGATACTTTGCCATCTGGCTTATCGACTTCTCGCGTATTAGCTAAGCATTAATAAATAAAATTTTAAATTGAAGAAAACACATATTGCTGAGGTGCACCACCAAATGAGAAAGTCCTTTATTGCCTGTAAAATCTATGCATGTGTGCGTGTGTGCTTTGGCTCTTCGTTTTAATAACAGTCGCAGCTCAGCTCCGCAACAGAGCTGCAGACAAGCTTAGCTCGTTTTCATTTATTTTAATAAAGTTAAAAGCCACCCGAAACATCAACGGCCAACCAACGCAGCCGTATCGCACCCTTACCCATACCTGTACCTGTACCGGGGCCATACCAAATGCTTGACACTGTGCCAAGCGCCCTTCGTCGTCGTTGCTGTTGCTGTAGGTAGTAAAATTTAAAATTTAAACGAGTTGTTTGTAATATTTATTGTGAAAGCTCACCCTTTTTTCGTTATCCGCTGCTGCTGCTGGAAAATATTCAGACATACATGGAAACAAAAGCGGGGCTAATGGGAGAACAGGTCAGGACGCATTCATTAACAAGGAAAGCGCTTTCCCGTTGACTCGTCTGCCCGTCTACTCGTCTGTCCGTCCGACTGTCGGTCAGAAAGTCAGACAGCTCGTTTTTCAGTTGCCCCGAATCACACAATTGACGAACCAGCAGCACACTCTGGCAAGCACAAAGTGCTTATATTTTTCTGGCAACGGAAATTCGTATGGCTTCCGGCATTTTTGTTGCAGCTCCCTTTTACTTCAGCTGTGGTCGCTGCTCGCGATTGCAAATTTTCGTATGCTGCAGCCTTGCCAAAAATGCCCTGCCAATACTTTCACTGCCACAAAAATGCCTGCATGCAGCACATACTTATGGTCTGTAGTCTGCCTGGTGTCAGGAGCACGTAGGACTTGTGACTGTTATTGCCAGTCAAGGCGAGCCACGACAGCGTTGCCAAAAACAAGGGATTATAATCCCACTGATGACCTACGTTCAGTCACTGCCACACGATGCCAGAAGTTTACACACGAAGCAAAAGTTAATGTTTGGGATTTTCTGTCAATAATTATGCCTTGAACTCACTGAAAATGGGCATACCAGATAAATCGAAGGTATGGGTATGCAGTATATTTATATGTCCGTCTCCTTTATGCTTTAAGTGAATGAGGTGAGCTGGCCGTAACTATTTTAAAAACTAATTTAACTTTTATATAAGCTCTCACCCTCAAGATATCAGAGCTTATAGAGCCTTTGCCGAAATAGTTGCAAAGCGAATAAAATATAGAAATAAATATCCTCTCAGTGCTGCACGGTTTTCTAGTATATGTAAGCATAAGCAGAGTGTTTCGAAGTGCTTGAAAAGTAAATCAAAGTATTTGCCAAGCAGCTGCAGCTCACACCCCCCTTCCGGAAGCACCTCCGGGCTAAGTACTTTCAAATTGAGTTAATAGGCAGGTGCAATAGCCATATCTGTGAGCGGAATATTTCAGCTCTTTGGTCAGCTCATTTTATTCCTTTTAATATTAAGGTTTTCTGATTTGCTGTTGTTGTAGTTGTAGTTAGTGGGACTTTGTTAAGCTCAGCTCAGGCCAGCTGACCACATGCAACTTTGTTGATATCATTGTTGGCCAGTGTCCCTTTGCTTTTATTATACTTTTTGGCTGTATACTGTATACTATTTCAATTCTATTAAGTTCTCGCCCCTTTTCGCCTTTGTGTGTGGGCGCTGTTGCCTGTTTCCGTCTGGTATCTAAGCGTGGACACTTGACTGGTCCCTTGCTGCTTGGCCCATAATGGAATTATTTGTATTAAATTGTGGCAACCAATAAATGAAATTGGAGCAGATCATCATTATCACGACATGAGTTTGCACCAGCACCAGCAGCAGCAACCACAACAGCAGCCACAACAGCAGCAGCAGCAGCAACTCTAACACAATTGAAAACTTGCGAAATGATGATGCTTTTATTCGGCTAGAAAGCTCTTCAAATTAAATTAAAAGTTAAGGTTTCTTCCTTTTCATTTCTCTTTGATTTGCGCCTTTAATGTAGCTATTTTCGAGTTCCTTGAAATTCGTCCTCTCCCTCGCAGCTCGCATCTCTCGAATGTCTTTGATGTTGCTGCTGTTGTTGTTCGGTTAAGCGCGCTTATCTGGACCGCAAACATTTTT